ATTGGTTCACAGCAGAAAAAGATTAAGTTTGGACAGTGCACTCACTGTTCACTCCAAAAACGCTGACCAAGCTATCACCAACAGTTACATAGTTTGTCTGGCTGAAAAAAGACAAAAGTCCATCTAGTTCAACCATAAAAAAAAGTTATAATCCTACACCCACAGTTGATCCACAGGAAGGAAAAAAACCCAGCAAAGCATGATCCAATTTGCTCCTGCAGGAAAAAATTCCTTTCTGATTCCCCGAGAGGCAATCAGATATTCCCTGGATCAACGATACCTATAAATGTTAGTATCCAGTTATATTCTGCGTATCTAAGAAAGAATCCAGGTCTTTTTTAAAGCAATCCACAGAACTGGCCAGAACCAACTCTTGAGGGAGTCTATTCAACATTTTCACAGCTCTTACTGTGAAGAAACCTTTCCGTATTTGGAGATTAAGTCACTTTTCCGCCACACATAAGAGTGCCCCCTTGTTCTCTGTGATGATCTCAGGGTGAATAGCTCTACACCAAGTTCACTATATGAACCACTGATGTACTTATACATGTTGATCATATCCCACCCCTTAATCTCCTCTTCTAAAGAGACAATAAATTCAGTTCCTCTACTCTTTACTTATAGCTGATCTCCTCCATGCCTCGTATCAGTTTGGTTGCCCTTCTCTGCACTTTCTCCAGTTCCCCAATGTTCTTTTTGTGAATTGGTGCCCAAAACTGAACTGCATATTATTCCAGATGAGGAGAATGATTTGTACAGGGGTAAAATTATATCTCTCTCTGGAGTCTATACCTCTTTTAATACCTTTTCTGATCCCCCGACAGTCTGGCTTCTGCCCACAACATTCCACAGAAACTGCCCTACTAAAAAACTCACTAACAACCTACTAACTGCTAAAACCAATGGCCATTACTCCATACTCATACTCCTTAACCTTTCCTCTGCCATTGACACAGTCGACCACCTGCTCCTCCCCAGTAAACTCCACTCCATCGGCCTCCAAGACTCTGCTCTCTCCTGGTTCTCCTCTTACCTTTCTCAGAACACTTTCAGTGTCACATACAACTCCTCTTCCTCTTTCTGTTGGGGTACTCCAAGGCTCTATCCTTGGACCTCTCATTTTCTCTCTCTACTCCTCCTCCCTGGGCCAACTGATAACCTTCCATGGCTTACAATACCTCCTCTATGCTGACGACACCCAGATCTATCTCTCCACTCCCCAGCTCACCCCCTCAATCTCCTCACGTATCACAAATCTACTAAGCGACATATCAGCATGGATGTCACACCACTACCTTAAACTCAGTCTTTCCAAAACTGAGCTTGTAATATTTACTGCCCCCGATCCCCCACTCAAACAACCATTATCAACAGCACAACCATTGGTTTCCCCTCATGCCAGGTGCTAGGATAATCCTGCAATCTGACCTCTCCTTTGGGCCCCACTTGCCTACTCACTTACTAAATCCTCCCGCCTCAACCTCCAGAACTTCCAAAATCTGCCCCTTCTGACCAATGACACCACAAAACAACTTATCCATGCCTTGGTTTTACACCGCCTTGATTACTGCAATTCCCTCTTCACTTGCCTACCGTTACAGAGGCTATCCCCACTTCAGTCTATTATGAATGCTACTTCTATACTCATACACTTTACCACCCGATCAGCGACTGCTGCCCTCTCTGCCAATCACTTCACTGGCTTCCACTAACCCAGCGTATAAATTTCAAAATACTAACCACAGCTTACAAAGCCATCCACAACACTGCCCCTGGCTACATTGCCAACCTCATCCGCAGATATCGCCCAAATTGCCCACTCCGCTCCTCCCAAGATATCTTCCTCTCTAGCTCCCTCATCACCTCCTCCCACGCTCGCCTCCAGGTCTTCTCCAGAGCCACTCCCATTCTCTGGAACTCCCTAACACAGTATGTCCAGTCAGCCCCCGCCCTGTCTGCCTTTAGGCGATCTTTGAAAACTCACTTCTTCAGGGAAGCCTACCCCACCTCCACCTAAGAACTGTACTTGAATCACCTCCACCAGATCATCTACCGCAGCTATCACCTTTTGTATCATAAGAAAAAAAACAATATTTTTGACTTTTTGCTATTAAACATGCCCAGTCAAAAAATGTAGAAAATCAAATTTTGTCATAAATTTAGGCCAAAATGTATTCTGCTGCATGTCTTCACTAAAAAAAATCCACTACGTGTAAATTAAGTGGTTTACGTGAAGGTTTTAGCGTTTACAAATGTCGGAACCTGGAATTGTTTTTTTTTCTTACTAGTAATGGCGGCGATCAGCGACTTATAGAGGAACTGTGGCGGGTATTCTGCCACTGGGGGGGGACTGACTTGGTGTCACTGACATCCCGAGTGACACCAATACAGTGATCAGTGCTAAAAAAAGACACTGACACTGTACTAATGGCACTGGGCAGGAAGGGGTTAACATGAGGTGCGATCAAAGGGTTAACTGTGTGCTGGGAGTGTTTTACTAGGGGGCTGTGTCAGTGTGATTCACTATAAGCACATTGCTTTGAATGGCTGTGCACAGCACCAAAGCAGTGTGCCCGAGCTGACAGGGAGAACTGTTAGTAAACAAAACAGTTCTCCTCCCCATTGGAGATCCTCGGAAATCATCGGGCGCTGGCAAACAATCGCCGCCCGGGACCCGGGGATTAACAGCCATGGCCGCAAATGGCGGTGCAGGTAGGGCGAGTGCGAGTTCCCTACCCAGAAATGCGATATCACGAATATATACGTGATTTTGCACACCCGTGCCGCCCTGTAGCAGTATATCTGTTATAGGGTGGACGGGAAGCGGTTAATATAAAACTATCAGCCCTAATAGTTGCATAAGTATTTTCCTTTTAAGGAAAATTTAAATTTGCTGAAATATCTTAAAACATAAGGTGTGCTTGCCTGTATGGTCAGTAAAACTGGATTTCAACCATCCCTCTATATTCAAATGTATCTAAAAAGAGAGAAATTACACTGTAAAGCCTATGCAGCAGCTGGCACAATTGATAAATTGTGTAATAAATATATGTAAAACAATTATGAACAATATACAAAGTGTTACAATGGTAAGAAACAAATCAACAAATACATGTGAGTCCTTGAGCAAAATGCATAAGTAAATAATAGTCCCAAATGAATGCAAGTGATATAAACTGTGAAAGGCTTTATGCTCCAAAGGTAAATAAGTATTCCAAGCACCACACCACCTCCAGTTCTCTGCCACCTTGTGCATAATAGAACTCTTAGACTCTTTACATAGAAAAAAGTCACTTGTGCTTGTACAACTTTGCAATCCCTGTTTAGGGAACTGAACCTCCACTATGTCTCCATGGACACCCCTAATCCACATGAATCCAGTATTTACCCTTTTCCTCATCAACTATGGAGTTCATACTCCCCACCGCCTCACAGCTCAGCTCTCCTGTTAGCTGGGCGAAGATATATTTTTTTGCTAAACAAACTGACTGAAAACTTTGGAAAAAAAAAGTTGTTTCTTAGTTTCTGCTATAAACTTTTGTAAATAACTAATTTTTCTCCTGCACTGAAGTGCGCCAATGAGGCTGCAGTAATGGGCACAGATAGGTGGCACTGATGGACACTGATAGGTGGCACTGATGAGGAGGCACTGATAGGTGCCTTTGACAGGCATCACTTGTGGGCATTGACAGGCATCACAGATGGGCACTGAAAGGCAGCACTCATATATGGCACTGATGGGCACTGGTAGGCTGCACTGATAGGCGGCACTTACTGGCACTGATAGACGGCACTGATTGGAACTGTTAGGCGTCACTGATTGGAACTTTTAGGAGGCACTGACGGGCACTGATAGGTGGCCCTGACGGGCACTGATAGGTGACACTGACTGGCACTGATAGGTGGCACTGATAAGCGACACTGACTGGCACTGATAGGCGGCACTGAAAGGTAGCTCTGATGGGCACTGATATGTGGCATTGATGTGCACTGGTAGGCACTGATATGTGGCAACGATGTGCACTGATGGGCACTGGTATGTGGCATTGATGGGCACTTACAGGTGGCATTGATGGGCACTGACAGGTGGCACTGATGGGGCTACATTGATGATCTGATGATCAGTGTAGATGTCCCCTCTGAGGAATGCCGATTATCAGCTCTCCTCTCCTCACGAGCTGTCAGCGGCAGGAGAGGACTGCCGATAACCGGCATTTCCTATTTACATGTGATCAGCTGTGATTGGACACAGCGGATCACATGACAGAGCCAATGTCATCAGCTCTTTACAGTGATCGGTGATCCGCTGTGTCCTTGGGACACAGCGCACCACCGACTGCTGCGCTGCGTACCCCTCATGCACAGTTAAAATGGAAGGACGTCATATGACGGCCACTCCAGAACAAGAGAACCACCGCCAACCACCGTCATTACCTTATATGATGGGTGGGAGACAGTTAAAGTCATATGATCAGAGGGCCCTCTATTTCCTCTTGTACCAAATTGCATTGTAACATTACATTATGTAAAGCGCTGAGCAAACTATTGGTGCTATATAAATCCTGTATAATAATAATAATAATCAGAGGGCTGGATTCGGGACCAGACCCCGAGTGACTCTTTTTCTATTTAAAGAGTCCACTAACTCTAATAGAAGTCCTATTATGCACGAGATGGCAAAGCACTAGAGATCATGTGGTGCTTGGCATACCTATTTAACTTCGGAGTATTAAGCCTTTCACAGCTTATATCACTTGCATTCATTTGGGATTATTACCGTATTTACTTATGCATGTTGCACAAGAACTCACTTTTACCTGTCAGTTTGTTTCTTTCCTTTGTAACACTTTGTATATTGTTCATTAGCACAGCATATTTGTTTTACATCCCTCTATATTGAATGTCATCCTACCCTGTGGTGCATTAGTATGTCTTGTTATAAGAAGTTATAGTGTGGTTTCAGAAGCACACATGCAGATAAAATCTTTGACACTACTTACTAGCTTTTTTTGGACATTTCATGCATTTGCTGAAACCCCAGGAAGTACCCACTGTTCCACAGCAATCTTCCTGCTTTGAAAGTCCTGGAAGCGGCTTACCACACTTTGGAAAAAAAAAAGGAAAGTAATGATCAATAACTATATATAACAACACACTACTGACCACAAAAGACTAATGAAAAAACATCAGCAAGCAAATAAAATCTATACAGACATCAGACGTTGCAGCTTAGGTGTGACCTGTAAAAGTAACCTGTATTGAGGGAATTTGTAGGATGCCACTGACTCTTCTCCTTATAGAAAAAGCTGCTTGGCTGCCATGCTGATCCAATAATCAATAACCCGAAACAAGCATGCAGATTAGATTTCTGACTGCACTTTGACTTTCTAACATGCATGTGTGTTCCAGTTCAGTGACTTACTGGGGTTTCTTTACTAAAGCTGGAGAGTGCAAAATCAGGCTCACTTCTGCATAGAAACCAATCAGCTTCTACCTCAGCTTGATCAATTAAGCTTTGGCAATAAAACCTGGAAACTGATTGGTTTCTATGCAGAAGTGAGCCTGATTTTGTACTCTCCAGCTTTAGTAAATAAACCCCATAAAGTATGGAAACCAGACAAAGCTAGGCAACTAGTATTCTTGATATGGGGTTAGCCTAAGCACCATCTCTCACTACAAAGGTAACATGACTCTGACCAATAAATCATCTTTCTTCTACCTTTTTTTCTACCTTAACCCCCCTGGCGGTATTCCGAGTGAAGCTCGGGGTAAAGTTTCAGTACCATAAGCGGTAACCCCGAGCTACACTCGGGCTCCGGGATCCCTCGGTCACTTACCTTGTCCTGTGCTCCCGCGATGTCCCTCCTGCAGTGTCCCCTGTAATGAACTCCGGCGAATGCCGGCATCTGTCATCTGGGTTCCGTCCCCTGAGAGCGTAGGGATGTACGGGGGACGGAACGGTGGAAATTTGAAAATGACATATTGTGACATTCACTCAATACACTAAAATAACATAGAAAAACATTACTGTATCAAGCCATTTCACATTTATTTTGTCCCTAGTGCTTTGTCCTGTGCCCTGCCTGCATTTTTACTGTTCTTTCTGCCTGGAAATTAAGAAATGTCCATGGCGTCCAAAAAGCATCCCTTTAGGTCAAAATTGGTTTTAGACCAGCTAGAGAACAGCGATAGTAAATTAGAACCACTTGCAGAATTGAGTGATGATTCGTGGGGAAATTTGTCATCAGACACTGAAAACGATTTTGCGACTTTGCTCAGTGATGTGCGAACTTGGTGCTATATTTCAAATTTCAGTGTTTTTGGTTTGATTATATTATTGAAATAAATTTATTATATTATTATTTTTTATGATTATTTATTAAATTATAATTTATGATTTCGTGTTTCAAATTTTAACATACCCGGGATGTTTACTAGACTCTTGTTCGGACAGATTTCAGTGAGTTATTCCTAAAAATTACAGGCCTACAATAAAAAAAATACATATTTCCATGCAAAAATATGTACCCGCTTTGAGCACAGAAATATGGACATAATTAGACCGCTAGGAAGGTTAAGGATAGGATATTTAATTATTGAAGATGTTTGTACACTGTGGAGTTTATTTACAAAAGCTGGTTCACTCAGAATCTTGTTCACCCGTGCATGGTAGCCAATCAGTTTCTAACCTCAGATTGTTCAGTTAAGCTTTATCATTAAACCCTGTAAGCTGATTGGTTTCCATGCAAAAGTGCACGAGATTCTGAGTCTTTAGTAAATAAAGCCCACAGTTACATGTGCCACACACGAAGACTTTGCAAAGAAAGAGTTATAATAAATGGAGATGGCGCATGTTTCTTCTGGCAGGCTAAATAATCAGTCATACTGTTTTCAGTACCTTTGAAAAATCATTTTGGGACTGGCCTGACCAGAATTAAATGTATTTCTACCTTTGCAGCCTAATTGGGATAACACCTGCTCTATATTTGTTACATGTTCTCATTCACATAGCATAACAAAAATAAAAAGGTGAGAAATAGACTTTTATTTGTTTTTTTTTTAGGTAAACTGTGTGAATAGGAAAATACAGTATAACAAATGTATAGTAGGATTTTTCCAACTTTTGACTACAAAAGTGGAAATACACTTTAGGCAACTGGCCTCATTTATTTCAGACTAGTAAAATTTCCAAATAATTCAAAAATTGCTTTGGATTCAGTCATGCAGCTCTGACATTTTAGAATTGTCCCCTAGCTCTGCACCTCTAGATAATTAAAATACAGTGGGTCAGCTCAGCCTATAGGAAAGAAAGCCAGTTTTCCTATTTTAATGGAAAAACAAATGTAAAATTGTAAAGCCTTGGAGTCACAAAGGAAAAAAGTGTTACATAAATCTTAACATATTGTATATTACATAGGAACAGAATGGATTTACCGTTCCTAGGTGTAAGAGCCTATAGTTTCAACAACACAAAGGCGAATTCTGATAATTCCAGTACTGCACAGGTCAAAATATAATAGAAAGTTTCCATACTTTTTACAAGAGAGGAATTGTATTTTTTATAAAATATGGCAGCTGCTCATAAGTAATCACACCTTAGACAGAAACAATAAATCTTTATTGAAATGTTTCTGAATAAAAAAATGAAAGAGTTACACGGTTATAATCCTTTTAAAGAAAAAAGCTGAGACATGCATGTGTTCACCTATGGAAAGTCTAGAAAATAAAGTATGGTGTCTACAGCAGTTACATTCTTCATTTTATTTTTGGCCTGCACTGCAGAAAAATTAGAAACTGATTGGCTGCTAAGGGCAAAAATAACACTAATCTCTAGTACACCATCATGCATGAGACTAAGTGTCTCACACTACTGTCATAGTCAAATGACAAAGTAAACACTGGATACTGGCATACATACTAGACAGTCCCCCACCCACCAGCTCAATTACAAAGACTAAAGCTTTCCTTTTTAAATTTAGACAGTGGTAAAGAGAAAAGAAAAACCCCTATCATTGGCTCATTTTATTATTATTGCAATAAAATAAAAAAGAATACTGCTCACAGTATAGATTTATCTCTACAATTGCCTGAGCTCCTACCTCACTGACAACAACCTTCTTGACCCTTTACAGTCTGATTTTCGCTCACTCTACTCCACTGAAACTGCCCTACTAAAACTCACTGATTATTTACTAACTGCTAGAACCAATGGCCACTACTCCGTACTCTTACTACTTGACCTCTCTGCGGCTTTTGATACTGTTGACCATCCCCCTCCTCCTCAAAAAACTCCACTCTCTTGACCTCCGAGACTCTGCTCTCTCCTGGTTCTTCTCCTATCGCAGCGCTCCTTCAGTGTTACCTATAACGCTGCCTCCTCCTCTCCACTTCCTCTTTCTGTAGGGGTCCCTCATGGTTCTGTCCTTGGACCCCTTCTCTTCTCCATCTACACCTTCTCCCTTGGTCACTTGATAAACTACCATGGCTTCAAGTACCATCTCTATGCTGATGACACACAAATCTATCTTTCTACTCCTTACCTCACCCCATCAGTCTTCTCTCGCATTACTAACCTACCAAGTGACATATCAGCATGGATGTCACTTTACTTCCTCAAACTCAATCTTTCTAAAACTGAGCTCATAATATTCCCTTCAGTCCATGCCACCTCCCTTGACTTCTCCATCAAGATCAATAATACAACTGTCAGTCCCTTCCCTCATGCCAGACTACTAGATGTAAACCTGAACTGTCATTTGTCCTTTCAGCCCCAAATCATTTCACTGTCCAAATCTTGTAGACTTCACCTCCATAACATCTCCAAGATACGCCCGTATTTAACCTCTGAAACCACTAAGCAACTTATTCACTCCCTTGCTATCTCTCGCCTTGACTATTATAACTCCCTCTTCATTGGCCTACTTAATCACAGGCTATCCCCTTCTTCAGTCTATCATGAATGCTGCTGCCAGACTCATCCACCTTACCAGCCATTCCATGTCTGCCATCCCTCTCTGCCAATTCCTCCACTGGCTTCCCGTTGCCCAACGAAAAAAATTCAAAACATTAACAATAACATATAAAGCCACTTATAACTTTGGCCCCAATTACATTCCCAACCTTGTCTCCAAATATCACCCAATCCATCCTCTCCGATCCTCCCACGACCTCCTGCTCTCTAGCTCCCTTATCTCCTCCTCCCATGCTTGTCTCCAGGACTTCTCCGAAGCCAAGCCCATCCTCTGGAAGTCTCTACCCCAATCTATCTAACTATGAATGTTTTCTTCAAATATGCCGGATTTTTTTTTCTGCCAGAACTTGGTAGAAAAAAATTAATCTAATATTGCGTATATATATGTGTGTTTAAGCATATGGGGTTGAGCGTAAATGCAATATACTGGCCAGAATAATAATTTACATACATTTATGCTTATACACATGCTTTTATGCACATTTGCAGACGTAAACTGTGCTCATGAGCTCCTTTCTAATTGTAGCTATGGTGCGTTTTTGGTGCCTCTAAAACACTGCTCTTAAAATACTGGTACAAATGCCTGATGTACATGGACACATATATACTCTATAGTTTCACTAAATATTACATATTTTATCTATGCTAAAAAGGAATTCCCAGGGATGGCATAGGGGATCCGAGGACAGATACTAAGACCTCAATGTCCAAAATCAACCACAAGCTCATATGGTGTGGTATGCAAGATCAAATAAGAACAGAAATATATGGTGTGGGCTGGGAATAATGACAAATATTGAGGAATTGTAAGAGAAAAATCTGTACTAACCAAAAATTATATTTTACTGCAATACTGAAAAAGGTAATCTATTATAATAGCAAAGATTTGGTTGGGTACCTTAAAAGTCTTCTTTGACTTCCCATTTAAAGTTATCATAATCTGGATGTGGTGATCTTAATAGATGAGCCTGTACCCTTTTTTAGATTTTTTTTTGATCAGCATAGGTTGATATATAGCTTGTTATTACAAACTTTGTCCCCATTGGAGGCTTTCCCCTACTTTCTTTCAGAACTGGAGTGGTAAAAAAAAAATCACTTCACCGGGAACAAAGACGTAACAAAACATTTTTGTAAAAT